TTCCTACTCTAGTAAAGGAGGAGTAAAGGCCACGAGCGTAAAATGGTATGGGTCTGCAGTCCCTTACCTCAAAAATTCTAAAATCCAAAAATCTCTGAAAACTGCAACTTTGTACATTACTCATTTGGCAGCAAAACCTGACCAGAAATGCCATGAGGCTGTTTAGTCCTTATTTATTTCACTGGATGTGACTATTTAAATATTTTGCTGTATCAATAGACTGTGTTTAAGTACAGGTGCTTCCCCAGACCAGTGGGGGAGTTATAGCCTATCTGGCCTAAAGAGTGGACCTGTATATGAATGCCAGGAATTGCCAAATATTTGCTTTCTGAGTACTGAATTGTGTTTTAAACGAGCATGTTTGTATTGTAATCATTAAGGATCTGTTATTCACAGTTTGTGTAATTAATATGACCTGTTTTCTTAAATTAGAAGACAGTAATAATAACAATAAAAATAATCACTGAACTTTCACTGTGGACCAGGCAGTGTGCTAAGCATTTTACATACAGGATTTAATTCTCAAAACTACTCTTATGAGGTAGAGCCCATCACTCTCTCATTTTTACAGATGAGAAACTGTGGCTACATAGTTGTCCAAGGTGAAGCAGCTTGTAAATGAGCCACGAGTCTAACAGAGAATCTTTTTCCAGAACCTGTGTTCTCCTTATCACCATGTGGAATGTGGATGGCTTTCTGTGCTTCCTCCAGCTGGTTAAGGGCCATTTTGATGGAAAGGCACATAGATCATTTCACCTGCTGTCCCAGCCTAACATAGACCCATCACCGAGGCCTGCATCAAAGATTTATTAGAAAAGGAAACTTTAGTGATGGGGACCAGGCATGTGGTTTGGAAGATTAGAGGCGGGGTTGAGTTGCTGCTAAATAATTTTAATCCCAGATGTAAGTAATTTTGGGTTTAGGATGAAGATTGTCACTGGGCTCCCACGGTTTATTTACTTATCATATTCTTTCATTGTTGCTTGTTCTGGAGTCAACCTACCTCTTTTTCCCCATACAAAATTTCAATTGTTAGTGCAAATTACTTTATAGAGGTGGGCATCCTGAAATTAGTCATAGTATTCAGTGACATTTGTGGGAAGAAGAACATGACAAACCAAACAGAAAAAAAAAATAAGCGTTTTCTTTCCTTTTCTTTTTTCCTCACTGTTTCTCTCTCTCCCTATCACCTTTGTCTCTTACTCTGTCTCTCTGTGGCTTCTTATCTGTCTTCTTTTATTTTTTGACATGGAGTCTTGCTCTGTCACCAGGCTGGAGTGCAGTGGCGCAATCTCGGCCTACTGCAACCTCCACCTCCCGGGTTCAAGCAATTCCCCTGCCTCAGCCTCCTGAGTAGCTGGGGCTACAGGCACATGCCACCATGCCCAGCTAGTTTTTGTATTTTTAGTAGAGACAGGGTTTTACCATATTGGCCAGGCTGGTGTCGAACCTCTGACCTCGTGATCCGCCCGCCTCAGCCTAAAGTGCTGGGATTACAGGCATGAGCCACCGGGTCCGGCCCTGTCTTCTTATATGTTTTAATCTATTAGTCCTAGTGTATACACTTTTTCTTCAGCTTTTTCTTTCCTCGTCTAATTTCTTATACGTGTTCTTTTTTCTTTTTCTTTAATTTTTTTCTCCAAGTTTCCCCTTTGTTGCTTTTCTCATTTGCTATATTCTTCATTCATTGTTCTAGTTTCTGCTAATGTGGCACATGGGAAATCTGAAGTGTCTTATGCATAAAAAACTTCAGACAGATATTTTGGTACTTGCTTATTTGTTGTAAACTACTCAGATAATGAAGTACATAAGTGTTTACTATCCTTCTTTAACCTTTATACTATAAACACTTCTATTTTATCCATATCATAATTGCCTTATTAATATGTCATGCCATTTCAAAGGAAATGGGTAATGATTTTATTTTTCTGGCTACCTTTTTGTAGAAAATGGTTTGCTACAGACCGTTTGTCAGCCAAATTGAAGATGAAGGAAAGGGATTTAGTATTCCCCAGTTATTCCTGGGCTAGACTTTCAGCATTCAGTCAACGTGAACAACAGGCACAGTGCAAACCCCAGAGGGAGGCAGGAAGGAAAAGAGATTACCTGAAGGTAACATAGCAACAGCTCTCGAACAGAAAGCAATAAGCCAAAAACTGGGACAAGAGCCTGATAGCATAGGAAGAGAAAGACACAGGTACATCCATAGATGAATAATGGTTTTAGGTCCAGTGGCTCTTTAGAAAACTAAGGGAAGTATAGGGATAGGTTAGGGAGGAGAGAAAGGAAGAGGCAGAAAGAAGGAAGCAACAGAGAGAAGAGGTGAAAGACACAGCTAGAGCACCCTGGGTGGCACATTGAGGATCGTGGTGGCAACGAGAGCTTTGGAGTCTGTGAGGGAAGGAGAAAGCTGCAGTGACACAGGAGGAGGTGGCACACTTTGGCCCATTGGAGCAGAAGGAACCCTTTGGATTTCAGTTGCTTTAAAGACTACTGAGGTATGAAGCCGGAAGACACTTGCTGAATAACAGATGACATTTGGTATAAGATCAAGCCAATCCTCATTTTAGTAGCATCACAAGGCATTATGATATTCAAGTGGTGTCGCATTAAAGTCAGAAAACATCATTGCCTAGGTTATGAAGCTGAAGCTTAACTTGTGCTGTAAGGTGTTCCAGGCGGTACAGTAGATCTAGCTGAGTTATAAAGCTCAGGTATGCCATAGATTTCAAATTCTCCTGCTGGAAGCTTTGGGACATACGGTTCTCTAACTATATTTTCTCAAGAATTGCTTCAGTGTTTCACATTAAGACATAGCTTTGGAAGGACAGATATGACTGATAGGAAGGGCATCAAACCATCAACTCTGAAAGAATGTATCATGGGTTTAGAGTGAGATCATTCTGCCCTAAATAGTTTTAAAATGATGATAAAACTGGTCTGTTTGTGGAAAAGCTTGCCAAACTCCACTAATAGTTGCCAGACTGTGGACTTTAAGAATAGATGGAATGTGTCTGTTCTCACCTGAACTATAGCTGAACACAAGTTTATGTGATTGGAAGCTTTCATTTTCCTAGAGCTTATAAAAGTTTCATTTCTTTTTACCTATTGCTAAAGTGATCCATAGACAAAAGCACTGTTTCCCCTTAATGTTTTTTACCTTTTATTTTTTCTATTGCAAATAAAAATTATGTAACCATAATTAATAGATTCTAATTCTAGACAGTTCAAGAACTCACCCTGAATAAATAGAATCAATGGGAATCATTGACATCTTTTTAAACTACTTTTATTATTGTATTGACTCAACTTAAGGATTGGGGTATTCCTCTGAGTCTAAAGGGTTTTGAGAACAGATCTTAAGAAAGTCTTAGGGAAAACTGTGGTCTGGCATCAGATATGCAAAAAAGTATCATAATATGGTGTAATCCTTGGAGTGTGGACTGTGCAGTGGCTGTTATGGAGCAATTTAGCTCACCTTCCTGCAACTACACAACCAAGCGTCACGTCTACAAATCATGAAGGAATGTTATTTCTTCACGGTCAACTAGCCACCTCATTATTAGTCAGACAGGTAAAATAGAAGAATCTGGTAAAAATGAATTTGTGATACTGAATGACATATAATATTTCAACCGATGCTAACTAAAGGACCCTGATGGAAGCATGTTGAATGTTTGTGGAGGATTTTGAAGTGATTTGAGAGATGATGGCTTTGGCCTATGATAATATAATTTATTTTATATATAATCCTTAAATACCATGTAACTCTATATATTTTACCTTATAAGAAAAATACAAGTAACTCAAAACTAAGAACATTTTTTTTTTAAAAGCAAATTCTATTGAACACTTAAAAAAAATATTTTTTCTCGGCTGGGCGTGGTGGCTCATGCCTATAATCCCAGCACTTTGGGAGGCTGAGTCGGGTAGATCTTGAAGTCAAAAGATCGACACCAACCTGGGCAACATGGTGAAACCCCCCTCTCTACTAAAAATACACAAATTAGCCGGGTGTGGTGGCACACGCCTGTAGTCCCAGCTACTCGGGAGGCTGAGTCAGGAGAATCACTTGAACCTGGGAGGCAGAGGTTGTGGATCATGCCACTGCACTCCAGCCTGGGCAACAGTGAGACTCCATCAAAAAAAACAAAAAAATTCTGCACTTATCATTATGTGCCTACTATGTGGCAGGCATGGTACCCAGCAATTCTCAAACATTACTGCATAAGAGAGCTATTAATATTAAACAGCTCTCTGAGATCAGATATAGATATGATTACCTCTATTCTAGACATGAGGCTGAAACTCAGGAAGATGAAGCAGCTTGCCCAATGTCACACAGCTAGTAAGAGGCAGAGCCAAGATTCCAAGACAGATGTCTCTGGCTCCAAAGTCAGTTTTCCCTGGGCTCTCTCTCCATAATTGCATGGGACAATAACTGGGCCATAGTGTCCCCTCTGAACCATAAAGGAGAAGTTTGATTATGCTCAGGAGGTTTTATTTAAGAACGTGCAAATGGCTTTAGTAAACTTTCCATTGTTTTACAGGTTAAAATGAAGTCTTTGTTTAAAAGAAGTCAGCTTGCATCTCACTTGGCCAAAATATGCTATCATCCTAGATTACATGGGTTATCCAACTAAAGTATTAGAGTATAATTTTATAAAATATCTTTAAGGCTGGTTTTTAGATCTAATGTTATTTACAAATTTTTTTGGTAGCATTTTAAAAAAAAAATTTATCCATTGTCTTTCTCTTCCTTCAAAAATTTGTATTTCATCAATTATTGATTTATATTTATTTGGGGATCTTTGTAAAATATCTATGTTAAATGTCAAGCTTTTCCTTTGGTTATTAAAAGACGTTTCTAGAAATATATTCATAGCATTTTCAGTTCCAGTTAAATTGTGTAGTTTTTAGTGTATGTATATTTAAAAGGATCATTAGCTCTATGAGCAACATTATATTCATGGTTTTTATCTCAATGTTTTGAAACTCAGGTCCCAAGTCATTTGCAAAGGCATTTTCCAGTGGCTTTCTACTTGGAGAAGTTCTATACAAGTTTGAACTTCAGGATGATTTTTCAGAATTTTTGGACAGCAGGTTAGTGAGATTATTCTTTGTTGTTGTTGTTATTGATTTGTTTTGAGACAAGGTCTTGTTCTGTTACCGAGACTGGAGTGTAGTAGCGTGATCATAGCTCACTGCAACCTTGAACTCCTGAGATCAAGCAATCCTCTTGCCTCGGCTTCCCAAAGAGGTGGGACTACAAGTGCATGCCACCACACCTGGCTAATTTTTGTATTTTTGGTATAGACGGGGTTTTGCCATGTTGCCCAGGCTGGTCTTGAACCCCTGGGCTCAAGTGATCCTCCTGCTTCAACCTTCCAAAATGTTGGGATTACATGCGTGCACCTCCACTCCTGGCCTACTCTTTACTTTCAAGAAAAGTTAATTTCTTTGGCATTTGGAAAATCCAAAGTTAACTTCAAAGAATCATTAATCATAAGATTCCTTCCAAACCTCAAACACCCAAGCAGAACCATTAATATGGAAATTGTTCCTTCCTGGCACATACGTTTTTTATTTTCTCAAGAGTACAAAGGAGAGACTGTTATGTGGTTGCAGCAAGACCTCATCTCTAAAGGGGACTTATTTTACACCAGATTTCTTCCTGCTTTGTTAATTGATTGTTCCTTCTTTTAAGAGAAGAAGTGAAACAACATATAGTGCTTTGAGTAGACAATTAGTATTATTATTTGTGGTTTAAAACTATAAAATAGAACTTAACTACTAATAAAAAATTCACAATGGTTTTTGTTTTTAGTGGCTACATTGAAATATAATTTATGTACCACAATTCACCTAATATATTCACATATTTAGATCTTCACAACCATCACCACCATCTAAACATCCAGCCTCTGGCACCTACTAATCTACTTTTCTGTCTCTATGGATTTGCCTATTCTACACATTTTATATCAATGGAATCACACAATTTGTGACATTTTGTGACTGGCTTCTTCACTTAGGATAATGTTTTCAAGGTTCATCCATGTTAGCAAGTATCAGTATTTCTTCATTTATATTTATTTTCTGAATAATTTCTATTATATGGATATACCATACCATATTTTGTTTATCTATTTATCAATTGATGGATACAATCCTCCTTTGGTATTCTTGGGGTATTGGTTCCTGGACCCTCTACAGATATCAAAACCCAATAGGGCAGCCATTAAAGTTTAAAGTTCCAAAATCATCTCCTTTGACTCCATATCTCACATCCAGGGCACATTGATGCAAGAAGTGAGCTCCTATGGCATTGGAAATCTCTGCCCCTGTGACTTTCAGGGTACAGCCCCTCTCCTGGCTGCATTCACAGGCTGGTGTTGAGTGTATGTGGATTTTCCAGGTGCATGGTGCAAGCTGTCGGTGGATCTACCATTCTGGTTTCTGGAGGACAGTTGCCCTCTTCTCATAGCTCCACTAGGTGGTGCCCCACTAGAGACTGTGTTTGGGGGCTCTGACCCCACATTTCCCATCTACACTGCCCTAGCAGAAGTTCTCCATGAGGGCTTCATGCCTGCAGCAAACTTCTTGAATGCTTTGCTGCTTAGAAATTTCTTCCACCAGAAATCCTAAATCATCTCTCTCAGGTTCAAAGTTCCACAGATCTCTAAGGCAGGAGTAAAATGCCACCAGTCTCTTTGCTAAAGTATAGCAAAATCACCTTTATTTCAGTTCCCAATAAGTTCCTCATCTCCATGTGGCTATTAGAATATATAAGTAACACTTACAACTCAATAATAAAAAGACAATCCAATTTAACAATAGGCAAAGGATCTGAATAGACATTTCACCAAAGAAGCTAACACACAACTAATAAGGAGACGAATAGATGCTCAACATCATTAGTGTATTATTCCATTTTCACACTGCTGATAAAGACACACCCAAGACTGGGCAATTTACAAAAGAGAGTTGTTTATTGGACTTGTAGTTCCACATGGATGGGGAGGCCTCACAATCATGGTGGAAGGCAAGGAGGGGCAAGCCACATCTTACATCGATGGCAGCAGGCAAAGAGAGAGGTTGTGCAGAGAAGCTCTTGTTTTTAAAACCATCAGACCTTGTGAGACACTTTCACTATCATGAGAACAGCATGGGAAAGACCCACCCCTATGATTCAGTCGTCTCCCACTGGGTTCCTCCCACAACATGTGAGAAATATGGGAGTTACAAGTTGAGATTTGGGTCGGAACACAGAGCCAAACCATATCAATTTGTGTTTAGGAAAATGCAAATCAAGATCACGAGATACCACTTCACACCCACTAGGATGGCTATAGGCAGAAAGATAGACAATAACAAGTGATGATAAGGACATAGAGAAATCAAAACCCTCACATAATGTTAGTGCGAATTTAATTCAGGCACTTAAAGAAACTGTTTAGGTGTGCCTCAAAAGGTAAACATAGACTGTCATACCCAACAATTCCACTTGTAGGTATACACCCAAGAGAAATGAAAACCTATCCACGTGATAACACAATGTTCATAGCAGATTATTCCTAATAGCCAAAAAGTAGAAACAACTCAAATATAGTTGGCCCTCTGTATCCATGATTTCCACATCCATGAATTCAACCACTTGCAATTCAAAAATATTTGGGGAAAAAAAGTCACAGAGTTCCAAAGAGAAAAACTTGTATTTGTCACAAACTGAGTACTACATTGAATCCACAAGAATGAAGTAATATGCAGGCATTGTATTAGATATTATAAGCAATCTAGAGATGATTGAAAATATACAAAAGGATGTATATAGATTATATACAAATACTATACTATCTTATGTGAAACCACCTCAACCTGGACTTCATTGTCCATATCACTGTCAGCATTTTGGTCAAAGCCATTCAACAAGTCTCTAAGAAGTTCCAAACTTTTCAACATTTTCCTGTTTTCTTCTGAGCCCTCCAAACTGTTCCAACCTTTGCCTGTTACCCAGGTACAAAGTTGCTTCCACATTTTCCATTACCTTTATAGTAGTATCCCACTCTCTGCAGTACCAAGTTACTGTATTAGTCCATTTTCACACTGCTATAAATATATACCCGAGACTGGGTAATTTATAAAGGAAAAAGGTTTAATTGACTTATACTTCCACATTGCTGGGGAGGCCTCAGGAAACTTACAGTCATGGCAGACGAGGAAGCAAACACATCCTTCTTCACAAGGCAGCAGGAGAGAGAAGAGTGAATAGCAAAGTGGGAAGGGCCCCTCATAAAACTATCAGATCTCATGAGAACTAACTCACTATCACAGGACCAGCATGGGGGAAGCTGCCTCCATGATCCAATCCTATACCTCCCACCAGGTATCTCCTTAGACATGTAGGAATTATGGGGATTACAGTTCAAGATGAGATTTGGGTGGGGACACAAAGCTTAACCATATCAGCTGCTTTATTATTTCTGTTCTTATTGTCATTTCTGGACTTCTGCTTGTTTGGGGTTTAGTTTTCTTTTTGTAGTTTCTTGTTATGGATGGTTAACTTTTTTATTTTAGATTTTCTTTTTTAACATTTGCATTGATGGCTATAAATTTCCCTGTAAGCACTGATTTAGCTGTATCAGGTAAGTTTTGGCATGTCATTTTGCGTCTTTATTTATCTCAAATAATATTCTAATTTCTCTTGTGATTTCTTCTTTGATTCTTTATTATTTAGGAGGATGTTATTTAATTTCCACATACTTTTGAATTTTCCAAATTTGCTGTGTTACTTATTTCTAATTTAATTACAATGTCGTTGGACAACACAGTTATTTCAATCTCTTTAAACTTAATGAAATTTTTTTTTTGGTGAGAGGTTTCTGGTAAAACCTATAAAACGAGCTAGACAAATTCTAAAAGAGCTGCAACACTTATTGAAGCTGTTTTTAAAAATGGTCTAACATATATTCTCCTTTTGAAAATTTTTCATATGTACTTGAAGAGAATGTATATTCCATTATTGTTCAATAGAGTGTTTACAGATATCTGTGAGGTCCAGTTGGTTTATAGTGTTATCCAGGTCTTACATTTCCTTACTGCTCTTCTGCCTGGTTGCTGTATCCACTATTGAAAGTTGGAGCCAAAGTCTCAAATTGTTCTTGTTGAATTGTCTATTTCTCCCTCTAATTCTTTCAGTTTTTGCTCCATGTATTTTGTGACTCCATTGTTAGATGCATATATGTTTATAATTGTTATGTCTTCTTGAGAGGTTGACCTTTTTAACAATATAAAATATTCTTAGTATCAACTAGTACTTTTTTTTTTCTTAAAGTCAATTTTGCCTGATACTATAGTCACTCTAGTCCTGTTTTGGTTATTATTTGCTTGATACACGTTTTTCCATCCTTTTACTTTCAATAAATTTGTGTATTTGAATCTAAAGTGTATTTTCTTGTAGAAAGCATACGATTGGATTGTATATCTGTTCTGCCAATTCCCTCTTTGTAATTGTAGTTATTTAATCCATTTATTTACAATATAATTATGAAGGAAGATTTGAGTGTGCAATTTTGATATTTGTTGTGTATATGTTTTATGTCTTTTTTACTGCTCTACTACTGCCTTCTTTTGTGTTAGATATTTTCTAATACCATTTTAATTCCCTTATTGTTTCCTTTACTGTATTTTTTGAGTCATTTTCTTAGTGGTTTTCATGAAGATTACAATTAATATTTTAATTTAAATCAAACTATTCAGATTAATACTACTTTAATTTCATTAGTATAGAAAAAAATTTGCTCCAGTGTAGCTCAATTGTCTCCTCCTTTTTTAATGCTATTGTTGTCCTACAAATTACATCTTAAACCCATCAAGTCAGTTTTATAATTATTGCTGTATGCACTTAACTTTTAAATCAGATAAGGAGAGGAAAATAGTTACAAACAAAAATATATTTAAACTATTTTTTATGTTACTCTATGTAGTTACTTCTACTGACGTGCTTTAAAATTTATTCATGTGATTTGAGTTACTGTATATTGTCCTTTCATTTAGGACTTAAAGATTCCCTTTAGTATTTCTTATAGGGCAGGTATGTTAAC